GGAAGCAGAGGGAGCCCACCAGGCTGCTTTGGGATTAAGAGAGAACTGGGAAACCAGATGTCCTGATGGGCAGACAACACATCTGCTTTCCCAGAAAGCCTTTCGGTAGGCACAGAGCCTTGGGGCAGGGCAGGGCCTGCATCGGTTGACGGTGGTCACTGTGAGCCCCCTTGGATTTGAGCAAGGAATCGAGACCTGGGTGCTGCTTGGCTTGATTCTGGAGAGGAAACGATACCTACACGTCACTGGGGTACACGGCAGACAGGGGCTCCATCTGGGTCAGCAACTGCATTGCACAAAGGCGGAGAACTGGCTTCTCCAGAGAGGAAGGATGACAGCTTCCTGGCGAGGGAGCTGCACGATTGAAGCTTGGCCCTGCCCAGCAGAGCGCAGGCCGAGCCCGGGCTCTCACCGCAGCGCTGGCCTCTGCATAAAGAACGGCTTGCACAGCCCTGGGGAATAAATTTGTACTGCGTGCCGCAGCTGGGGTCGGAGTGGGCTTAGGAGGTCAGACCCATATATTTCAAAGTCTGGGGCATGGGATAAGCAGCTCCCCACCCCTCTGTCTGCGCCAAGACTCTGGGATCAAGGGATTGAAGATGAGCTGAGATGGGGCCCTGGAGTCCTTCACCCAGAAAACGTGAAAAGACGGGGAAACAGCCTGGATATTAATTCTGCTGCTGACTCCACAGGCGGAGGTGTTGGCAGCACCTGTGGGCACCGAAAAGGGACATCACCGAGAGGCTATAGAGGTCGAGGCTGGGACACGACATCTGGAGGCCCTGTGGGGGCAGAATTAGCAGCTCCGTGGTGGGGGACGACTTCCAGATCTACCAGGCCAAGTGGCGAAGGTGGCAGTGAGTATGTCAAGGGTGGCAGTGGTGCACAACTGCCACAGGGCTGCCTGTCTTCTCTCCAGAGCACACACTCCCAGGTGAGTGGAGAAGCCTGCCATGCCAGGGTGGCCAGGTGACAGCAGGGTCCCCATGCGTGGCCAGCTGGTAGGATGCAGTGTCACATGCAACCTCCAGAAAAGCTGCTGGCACTGTGGAGGTGGACTCGAAATGCACCTGGGATTCTTAAGACGCAAATCTGAGGTTCCTCAGTGACCCCAAAAGGGCATAGAGCAGTGCCAGTCTCCTCTTCCGGAAGTGTGGGTTGCATTAGGGGATGCACCAGCCTGTCCTGAATATCCCATGAGGGACCCTCTGCCCCAGGGCGGGGCTGCCACTGCCGCCTCCATCCAACAACAGCTCTTCCCGGCTGGACTCCCCACCCTCACTCTCAGGATGTGGCCAGGCCTGGCCTCAGGGGGGCCCAACCTTGATCTGAGATCCCAGCTAATCATACACCTGCTCCTCCAGAGTCCTAATCACCACCCCAAGCCCCAACATCGGTACCCCTGGGGGCAGGGGGTAGTGACTCCATTTGTGGCAGTCTGACTTTCCCTTCCAAGGAGAACGCTGTGTGGCATCGCTTAGACGCTCTGCCTGCTTCCGCTGGGGGTGAAGCAGTCCCTGCAGCCTGGGTGGCATCACCGTGCTCCTCTGTGAGCGAAGTGCTTTGCTTCCCAGCAGCCCACTAATGAGACCCTGTTAGTGGTTATGAATGCAAATGCATTCTTTGTCAGCCCTGCGCGATTGGATTAGCGAGGTGACAAAATTTATTGCTTCTGTTAGGAAGATATGATATCGGTTGTTGTTGTGTCTTTAATTTTGTAGGAAGAGCAAAAGTATTGAGCTACACAGTCTAAATAAACACAAAGCAGCGGGGAAAAAAAAAAAAAAAAAAGAAATAGCATGAAACATTGAAGATCAAAGCTCTCCGGGTCTCTAACTTTAGAGTGGTAAACGAGCTCGTCGTCTCCTTTGTAATCACCAGAAAAGAAAAATCGAAACTCCTCTGCCGCCAGACCACCATGGTGAGCACACACACCGTGGGTTTGCTCTGGGTGCTGGGGAGGCCAAGGCTGTACAAGGTTAGTGCGCTCGGGTTTGGGGGCTTCATTTCTGTCCCTAAAAGGAAAAAATAACTAACAACTGTTCCCATTTACTCCCTGGAGATGGTGGCTTACTTCAAAAACGGGCTCGCACCGGACAGCTGTGAAGGCATCTTCCCAGTGCCCTAGAAGGCAAAGGGAAAACGGAAGAGAGGCCAGGAAGCCAAGTGTTCCTGACCCCATGAAGAGCCAGGAGTCAACGTCCCGATACGACCGCAGTGCTGACCGTGACACTCCAGGACGTCCGGGAACCGACAGCCGTGATGGATCACCGTTCTCTTTCCAAACAAGGACTAAAACTATAAAATTGCAATGTCTCTCGGAGCGCACAGACACGTAGGATCCAGGTATGAAGAAAAATTAAGGGAACTGAGGAACGCAGGGGAGTCAAGGCTCTGGGAAAGGCAGGGCGCAGTCTCTCCTGGAGCCCAGGAAGGAGCATAGCCCTCACGGCACCTTGATTGTAGGACTTCTGACCCGAGGACCAGGCTGCTAAGGGCATGACAGCAGCAAAGCCCACGAACGCCCCAAGTCAGCCAGAGATGGCAGAGGCAGACACAGGAGGGGACGTGGGACAGTGCTGGGCATCACCTTTGTGAAAGGGCATCCTGTCTCTCGGTTTACTAGGTGTTGTAGTTAGGGGTTGCAAAGAGGACAATTACATAGAGGACACAGAGTTTATAATAGTATTTTGTGGTGGTCACCCAGAGTTACCCAGAGTTAAACACAAGAAAGTGCAGGAAATCAGTCCACAGCACTAAAGACGTAGAAAATCCAGCCAAGGGCCTGGATGCCACAGCAATGTCCTGCATGAGTCCAGCTGAAGACCCGGAGCTCTTAATAATGCTTCCCACAAGTCCAGTTGGAGACCTAGATCCCATGTCAATGACTTATGCAAGTTGGTTTCATGGAGCTGTGCTGGGAAGGCCCAAAGGTCAGTGGTGGAAGCTAGAAAGTCTGTGCCGGAAAGTTGAGGGTTCTGCACTGAAGCCAGAAAGCAACACTCAAAATGACCAGGGCTCCCCTGAATAGTACCACAGCCATCCTCAATGACAATGAGGTCCTGAGCTCTTCCAGTGATGAGATCAGCCAAGTTCATATCAGGAAGCCAGCATGATAGCTTTTCCTGAAAACTGAACAGCTCACATCTTCCCCTCCAGAGCCAGGAAGCGATACTCAATGTAAGGACCAGAGCTCCCGAAAATGAGCCTCAGCCACTCTCAGCGACAAGGTCCCGAGCTCCCCTGATGACAATGGCCAAATCCACATTCGGGGAGCCAGCAGGACAAGCTCCTCCAGGGGAACCAATGGCTCCAAACACTTAGGAGAACCCACAATGCTTCTCTTCCTCTCCACGTCCCAGGCGGGCCATCTGCACTGAGCCCCATGCTGGTGCTGAGTTGACCTCCAATATTTAATCGTAACTCTGGGGAGCGGGCATGCTCGCCCTGCTTGCAAACCCACCTATGTGACAGAGCAAGGGCCGTGGCTGTACTGAGAGAGCGCACATTTGGGGACCACTTAAACGGTTCCTTCGTGGATTTTTGTATTCTGGGGAAATTTTTCAGATGAACAGAAAGTCGCAGGGATAGGGATGTAGCTCAGTGGCACAGTGCCTGCCTGGCAAGCACGAGGTCATGAGTTCAATTCCTGATGCCAGAAAGTTGCAGGGAGAGGTGGAGGAGACCGCACACACTTCCCCAAGACCTGCTGCTGCTGACACTGCCTCCTGGCCTGGGCCTCGCTCGTCTGGGCGCTGCGTTTGTGGAGAGCTAAGCCTGCATCCAGTTATGAAGAGTGTCACACACAGCAAGGCCGAACACCATAACCTCTGTGGCTTCGGGGTCACTCTAAGTTTATATGGCAAGCCTTCTGTGGGTGCCTGTAGCTGACACCACTACATCACCCCAGTCCAGAGCCTGGCATTGCTGGAGAGAAATTGGGGTGCAGCGGGAGTTCTGCTGCAGCTGCTGCTCTTCCTGCTTCCCTTGGCGGCTGGTGTCACGGTGACCCTGCAAGGCAGGGACTCCTGCCTCCATCTCGTCAGTCAGCCAGGGGCATCGAGACGGGCATGGTGGCTCCACATGGGGGCCATGTGGCTGGCGGCGACAGCGCCCAAGCAGGCAGTGGTTCCCGGCTGCTGGGAGCTCCTGGGCGTGGTCCACTCACAGACTGACCGGATCACTGTGTCCCATGGGTCCGACTCGCCTCATTGGAGCGTCCCCCTGGGGACCAGGACATCTCACAGGGTACTCAGGGAAGCCCTGCCAGCTGTGTCCCCCAAGGAGCCCTCCCAGCTGATGTTTAGGAGCAAGCGCGACTCATCATGCACAGACCAGTTGAAGACAGCGGCGGCAGCCAGCAGCCGGCCAGGCAGATGTCCCAGCCAGCACGCGCTGCCCAGGAGGACGGTGGCTTCCTGGGGACACTGTTTCCTCTACAGCAATCGCAGCTTCACAGCAGATGGCATACTGGGCCAGCAAGATTGCCTAGTGGTGCTGATACCCCGTTCCCGTGGGAGAGGAAGATATGGCTGAGCAGAGGATGTGCCATCCCAGGGCGAGGCTCACAAGGCCCGGCAGCTCAATGTCGTCTCTGTGGCCTGGATGCCCTTTCTGACAGGGACGACTGAGGGTATCCAGGAGCATTACCCAATCCTGATCTCCTGTCAAACCCCTAAGGACCAGCGCCAGGCCAGGATCCCGTGGCCAGTGCCTCTCCCCCTCCAGACCTGGCCGCTGACCGTTATACCCCGAGTGGCAGAAGAGGCACTCTTGTTTGACCCTCCGGAGGCCGAGCATCACCAGTGAGCACAGCAAACCTTATTGGGAAGCGAGGACCCCCCCGGACACTCAGTGACCACCAACACATCCACAGACTCCCTCGCCAGCTCAGCCCAGACACCCAGCGACGCTCAGTGACGAGCAAGCCCAGTTTCTCAGCTATTGCCCGGACTCGAGCCCGGATGCTCAGAGCCCCCTGTGGGTGGGCCGAGGCCTACCTGGCATCTCCTTTTCAAAGAAGGACTGGATGAGCTCTCCCAGCCTCGACTGGCCTTGCACCGTCTCTTTCAGCAGTTGCCCGAAGCAGACTGAAGGAGAGAGGAACAGAAAGACAGCGGAGATGTTAAATGGAAGGAAGGAGGAGAGAAACTCCAGCACAGAGCTGACGGCCGGGGGCAGGAGGGTGCCAGACAGAGCAGAAAAGGGTCTTCCACACAAAGGACCGAGTCCGAGGGAAAGTCAGTCAGAGAGGAGCTGGGCGGTGGGAAAGAGGAGGAAGACCTGGGACCAGAAGGACTGCATCCAGCAGAGAACACACTAGAATGCCCGGAGCAGGAAGACACTGGGGAGATGTCCCCGTGGGGACCCTCCCGCCGGGCCTCAGCGGCACCTGGAATCACTGAGCAGAATTCAAGGCTCACTGGGTCACTGCTGAGGGCTGCTTAGCCCTGGCAGCGTCACGTGAGCAGGCTGGGGCCACAGTGGCTCCATAGTTCTCCCAGGGGGCAGTGGAGTACAGGGTCAGTAGGTCTGCAGAAGTGGACCAGGCTGGGCGTGGTGGTGCATGGCCGTTATCCCAGCACTCAGGAGGCCGAGTCGGGAGGATCGCTATGAGCTGGAGGTCAGCCTGAACTACACAGCCAGACTCTTTCAAACAAGCAAACAGACCCTCACAGAAGAGGACCATTTCGCACACCGAGTGGACTCACTCCTAATTAAAAGGCAGCAGCTGGAGTTGCCTGGCCCACTGCCACTGTCCCCTTTGGATGTGTGCCTACAGCAGCAGTGGACTTTTCATTTGGCCCCATGGTGGCTCTGGCCCTGGACAGAGGCCAGCACTTGGAGTGGACGGTCAACAGGAGCTGAGTGAACTGAATGAATAGGCAGGTGCTCCCATCTGCCTATGTCCCCTACAAGTCTCATGTCCAGAGGTGACTGGGTCATGGGGTCACGGGGATGCTGACCTCGGGGGACTTCATGGCTGAACGTGGTGTGAGAAGGCAGGGCCTGGTGGAAGGTGGTCCCCAGGGTGCTCCCTAGAAGGGTGCGGTTTTCTACCCAGCCCTCCCCTCTTTCCCTGCTCCCTGGCCGCTGAGCAGCTTCTTCCGCCAGGCCCTTCGGCCTTGCTCTTTCTGCCTTAGAGCTAGCAGAGCGTGGACTGAGCCTCTAAAGCCATCAGCTGTGACTTTCTCTGCCTTTAACTTGTAGGGTGTGGAGTATTTTGTCCCAATGAGACAAGAAAGTGGCAAACACAATCCCTTATAGCAAAAGCCACAAGACAAGTTGTTGTTTCCTGAGTTGTTAATCACACAATCATGGTTTTGTTATTTTAGTCTTCAGCATTAAGAAGTTTTTTGCCCATACTACAGAAGCCAAAAACAATTCCAAATCTAGCTGGTTAACATGAATGCTTAAGTCAAGGACCATCCCCAAAGACGTAATTCTCAACCGTGAGATGCTGAATTCCCTGTGTGAACCATACCTGTGATTTTGTCCTGAGCAGCCTGCAGCTCCACCAGCCCAGGGAAATATGGGAAACACACACACACAAAAAAAAAAAAAAAAGGCCGAGAGAGACGAAGACCTTTCCATACAGTATTGTTTGCTTTTTCCAATCTGTCCTCTTGACAACCTGCTGTTTCTTGGGTAGGAAACGGAGGCTCATGCTGTTCCAGGTCACTGCCAGGCAGTGGCTGAGCTGCTGCCCAGGTCCGTGAGACAGAACCCAAGCTTGGCCTCCAGGTCTGCCCATGATGGACTGGCAAGTGTCACATTTACCTTCTCTCATAAAGCTGGGGCACAGAACAGAGCCCTGGACGCATGTCTTCTTCTCAGCCTGGACACCGGCCCGGAGGGAGCCCAGTGACCTGGAGCCCCACTCCTCCAGCCACTGCACAGAATGAGGCTCCCCCAGAGCAATGCTCTCACCCCACCAGGAAACGGGGTCAGGTCCGCAGCTCTGAGAAGCTGGTGTTCGTGGAGCAGCTGGGGACCGGAGGACTCAGCAAAGAAAGCTGTGCGAGATCCCGCTGAGCTTGGCCAGCACCGGGTGGCGCCAAGTACAGGGAGAGGCCGGCAAGGCCTGCTGGAGACCAGCAGCCATGAAATGCTGCAGGCGCGGTGTTGGGAGGGGCTGCTGCTGACGGCCACGGTGAGAGCTGACGGCCACGGTGAGAGCCCCTGGGTGGGCAGGCGGAGCTGGTGCGGGGTGCCGGGCTCTGGAGTCAGCACTGCCCGGTGATCCTCAGCAGCCTCATCAGAGCCAAGCTGCCCCTCCCGTGAATGAATTGCTGATGGAACTCAGCTCTTTTCTTTTTTAATTGATGCTGAGGACGGCCTTGGGCAGGTGCTCTATTTACCTACACTGCCCAGTCTTAAAACAGAACCACACAATCCCATCTCTCACCATGAGCACCACAGGGTCAGCCTGGGTGTGGAAACTATTGGACATAGAGGTCAGACAATGTAGCCCTCTCCAGAAAGAGAAAAAAGGCCACAGAGTCGCACCAAGAGGTGACATTCACGCCGGAAGTAGCACACGAGCCCTTAAAACAGTGGTTGTACATGTGTTTAAAACCTTAAATGAAAAGATAGTCAAAATGAATGAGCAGATGGGGAACAACTGCAGGGAAACTGAATACAGAACAAGAGAGAAATTCTGGAACTAGAAAGCACAGTATCTAAAATGAAAACAAATTAAGGCATGGGCTATAATCTCCAAATCTAAAGGTAGTAAACAAGCAAAGAAGACTCCAAAATTAAACAAAAAGGAAATGAAAAGGCTGAGAAAAAACCAGGAGCAAATGCCCGCGAGGGAATAAGCATTGAAGCCAACATCACGGGAGTCCCAGCGACGGGATATAAAAATATCCCAGAGAAAAGGACACAAAAAGTGTGCCCCAGAGAGGAGGGGACATAAAAGTATCCAAGAAGACAGTGGCAGGAGAGAGTCAAAGTGGGAGGGCGCACATAGCCCAAGACACCCAGGCAGCCACGCCTGCTCGGGACACGCAGACTGCTAACGGACGAAGAGAAAACGCTAAGCAGTTAGAGGGGAGAGAGATGCCTCAGTCCAGGACAAGAATGATAGAAAGTACTCTCTGGCCTAGCAGGAGGAGTGCAAGCCAGAGCAACAGAACAACACCTCTAAGTGCAGAGAGAGACAGAGAGAGAGAGAGAGAGAGAGAGAGAGAGAGAGAGAGAGAGAGAGAGCGCACAGATTTCTATCTGCAGCAAACACCCTGCACAAGTGAAGGAGAAAGCATAGCTCTTGTGGGTGGAGGAAAGGTGAGGGACTTTGTCACTGGATCCTTGCACTAAAAGGTGAAGAGAAGTTCTTTAGGCTGAGAGGAAAATGACTCCACGTGGGTCCTGGGAATGAAGCCAAGGAATGAAGTATGCTGTGTGAATACACATGGAAGTCTTTGCTCTCTTATGGTTTTTTTTTGGTCTTTTTCGTTTTTATCGGTACCAGGGATCGAACTCACGACTGCCTGCTTGCAAGGCAGGCGCTTATGCCGCTGAGCTAAATCCCCAGCCCCACTCTCCCTGCTCTCTTATGTTTTAAAAGCTTCAAAACAAAAATAATCATAGCATATTGTAGAGTTGGTAACATATACGGCCACAGTAGCACAAAGGAGAGGGGCAGGTTCCTCCTCCTCCTCCTCCTCCTCCTCCCCCTCCTCCCCCTCCTCCCCCTCCTCCTCCTCCTTCTTCTTTTTGCCATGTAGATCAGCATGGCCTTAAACTCACTATGTAGCCAGGCTGACCTCAGACTCACAGCAATCCTCCTGCCTCAGCCTCCCAAGTGCTAGGAGTGCAGGTGTGTGCTCCCGTGCCCTGAACTATGCTGATGTTTCTTACACGTGAAGAGCTATAATGTTAATTCAAGAAGCACTCAGAGAAGCAAAGGGTACATATTTAATCTCTTAAGCAATCACTAACAAACTCAAGCAAAGAGATGCACTAAATATGGCAACACAGGAAATAAAACGAATTACTAAAATCTAGTTGGCGAGGCAGGAAGATCACTGTGAGTTTGAGCCCAGACTAAGCTACATACAGCAAAACCCTTTCTCAAAAACTCCCCAAAATAAAAATAAATACATAAAAACTAATTGATGACCCCAAAAGATGGCAGAACATAGAGAATTAAAGAGCAAACAGCACAAACAAACCAACACCACCAGCTGACAGCCTTGCAAGCTACACTGAGGACTTCCTTTAAATATGTGTACCCGCGAAGGACGTCAAACTAGATTTTTAAAAACAGAAAACCCTCACCTTATGCTCTCTACAAGACAGGAGTTTACAGTATGAGGAGATGGACAGTGTAAAAGGAAGTCATGAGGAAGTACACACACGGACGCTGATCTCAGGAAGGTGGGAGGGCCGTGTGATACCGAAGCAGGCCTCGAGGAAAGCGACGTGATCAGAAGGCGGAGGAACACTCTCTAGCAGTAAATGGCCGTTTCGCCAAGAAGAAAGAGAAGTGAACTGTAATGTGTAGGCGCTGAACAAATAGAGGGGCAGAAAGCAGCAGGAAATAGCCAAATCGAGCAGAGCGTGGTGGCGCACGCTTAACCCCAGCACCAGGGAGGCTGATGCAGGAGGACTGCCGTGAATTAGAGGTCAGCCTCTGTAATGAGGGCAAGACCAGCCCAGAATGTATAGTGAGACTCTATCTCAAAAACCCAAAATAATAATAATAATAATAAAAATAACAGTTAATTATATTTGTGGACAGGAAGCTCAGGAGGCAGCTGGGTTTTTGCTGCAGGAATTGGTGAGGAGTGTGGCCTCGGACAGAGCTGGGCCGGGATGTGCTGCGGCTGGCCTTGCGGCCCTGGGGTCCCCCCGGCCCTGCCTGCCCCTCCGACTACCGCCTTGAGTTCCTCTGTAATTTTTCTACATTTGGTTCTTCCTGCGTAGCTAATGAAGTGCGTTGTGTACAGGGGGCACTTGAGGAGAAACGTTATGCTATCCTGGTGAAATCCCTCACGGCCGCTTATAACTAGATGTCTGTTCTTATTATAAAACTAACTCAAGCCGGGCGTGGTGGTGCAGGCTGAGGCTGGAGGATCTTTGCAAGTTCAAAACCAGCCTGAGCTTAGCTACAAAGTGAGCCCAAGGCCAGCCTGAATTTCATAGTGAGACCCTGTCTCAAAAAAAGAGAATAATAATAATAATAAACTAAATCAGTTAGAATTGTAATGAGATGGGCGAGGTCTCCCTGTGCAGTTCAGGCTGGCCTTGGGCTCACTTTGTAGCCCAGGCTGGTCTCACACTTGCTATGATTCTCCTGCCTCAGCCTCCCGAGTGCTGGGATGACAGGTGTGCGCCACCACGCTGGGCAAAGGTTCCTTTAAAGCAAGAAGACCCTGCCCTGAACACAGCTGAGTGACCAGCTTGCTCTTGTTCCTCTCCCCCAGGTAGCGACAGTAACACAGGTGAGTGGCTTTCCGGGTTTCTTTCTTGAGAGTTTGAGGTTGCTTCTAGTTTTCCCTGTGCACCCTCCACGGTGCGCACGGCAGGTTCAGGTCAAAGTATTTGTATACTCTGCAACTTAACAGCGACTTTTTGTTTGTAGAGTTGTGTGCTTTAGATATCCAACAGCTAAAACATGTCTTCTGATAAACCTTGGGGATCCGAGTTCTCATTTGCAGGTGCGTTACCCAGGTTTAAAGGGTCCTAAATGTGGGGCTCAGGACCAAGCAGGAGCACGGCCCCGGGTGCCCACTCGGACCCGAGGTGCCAGTGGCTGGCTTGCTGAAATCTCATCCTGCCTGGCATTCAGCCACCGAGAGCACTCCTGAGCTTATGATTGTCTCTTAAGGCTCTGTTATCTAAAAGAGCCCCACAGTGGCTCTTTAACCACAAAGCAAAAACTGACATGAGCTTTTCTGTTTTCATTTTTGGGACAATCTAGGCAGGACAATGACTGGCAAGCTGCAAGCAGTTTCTGTTTAAAAACTGCCTTCCTGACGGACAGCACCTACGGACGCAGGTGGTGGGAGAGACCCTTGTGCACCTAACCCCACATGAAGACACTAGTGTGGTATTCTCACGTCCGCCCTCCCTCCCTATACCTCTTATTAAAATTTTATTGGGGAGGTATTGGATTTTGAACTCCCGGGTGCTCTACTACTAAGCAAGATCCCCAATTCTTTCGATTTTTTGAGACAGGGTCTCCTGTGAATTTGAGATCCTCCTGCCTCAGCCTCCCTCAGCACTTGGATTACAGGCGTGTGCCACTGTGGTTTCACTGTACCTCTCCATGTCCCCCACAGAATGTACGGGCAGACACTTAGCTAAGCACGCGGCAAGGCCACAGGTGGATGGCTGGACGTTTCTAGCCAGAAGCCCTCCCTGACCACTGTTTGTCTGATCAGACATTCTTAAAATGTGAATTGAGAGAAAATTTGAATAACATTTAAACATAGATTTTAAAAAACATGTATTTTTAAAAATATGTATAGACATTACTAATGAAATTTGCCAAATAATTTCTCAGTATTTATTTATTTAGTTTTTGAGACAGGGTCTTGCTGTGCATTCCAGGCTGGGCTTGAACTTATTATGGAACCCAGGCTGGCCTCGAACTCACGGCAACCTTCTTGCCTCAGCCTCGTAAGCGTCGGGATGGCGAGCGTGCCCCACCATGCCTGGTTTCTGTCTTTTTTGTGGGCGTGATTTTTGTCACTGATTCCTGGAGAGACTCTGTGGCTTTGGCATTTTAAGTTGGAGGAGATCTAATCATTTTTAGGGGCCCTAATTAAAGAGCATTTTTTTCCAAAACATCAACCTTTTGGGGTGATATATGTATCCACGGGATTCGTGTGTGTGTGCCTTCTATGTGTATTAGCATGGCCGTGGTGTGATTGGAGGTTGTATTTATATGCATTTTATACATTTTGGGGTGCAGGGCTCCTGTTTCCTCTGTGAGCAGGGCTTACAGAGGTGCTGAATGCCTTTGTTGCCAGCCAGCCCTGCACCCGCCCCATCTCTTCCTGAGCTCCAGCTCTTGATCCCTGCACACAGGACGGCCTCCAAGACCGCCTGGGATACCTCAGCCAAGACCTGGAGAGCTGATTTCAATATTTTCTCGCCTCCTGGTAAAATATTTATTGAGACTGTGCAGAGTGAGAAGCCTTCCCCTGGTTCAGAAATTGTTTGCTGTAAACACACTGACCTGGGCCGGGGGAGCCATGTGAGACCTGAGCAATAAACCCGCAGTAGCTGCCCTGTGTGCAGGAGCGGAGGCCCCAGGAAGGGACCACAGGGGTCGGGGGAGGCACAGGGCGGCGATGCTGGGAGGACATAAAAATGACGACTGTGAGGGTTTGGGCTCTTCGGCTGGGGACGTGATTTCATTGGTGGATGTCTTCACGGCTGCTTTCTTCAGGAGAAAAAACCTCCTCTCTGCAAAGGCAGCCCAGCTGGCACAGCTCAGAGCAACCCCCGCTGGCGCCCTCCTCCCCGCCCTCCTCTGGCCTGCGGCCTGCAGGATGGGTGAGCAAGGGAGCAGGATGCAGGGGATGCTGGTACATCCGGCACTCACCGTGGACAAGGCCGTATTTCTGGGCCAGCAGGGCCGCCTGCAGGCGCTTGCCGCTGCCCATGGGCCCGAAGAGCACCACCCTCGGGGTGAACGGGGCGTTGGATCGATGGCTGGTCTGCACGTGGGTCAGAGCTGGGGAGAGAGAGGACAGGAGGACAATAAGCAGGTCCTAAAGAAGGAGAGCAGGCAGGCAGCTCCTCTGGCCTGGCTGTTTGGGGCCCTGGTCAGTCTGTCCTTACAGTAATGCATCTGGTGGCCCAGGAGAAGCAGCTGTGGGGGCACAAGTTATGCGTCAGGCCTGGGCACCAAGGTGACCAGGGGGCGGGGAGACGCCGGGAGCTGGCCTCTGAGCCACCTGGAGTTCTGCACAGCAGGGCTGAGGCTCAGACCTGAGTCCCTGCCAGCCTGGTCTCCTCAGGGAGGAGCAGGCTGGCTTCGTGTCAGACGCAGGCTTTGATAAGCGCCTCGGGCCGCTCGGGGCCAAGCGTGTGGGGACTTCTAAAGGACTGGGGAATCTTCGAGGATAATTTGTGCAGCCACACTCCGCTGACACCAAGTTGGCTGTGAGTCTCCAAAGATAACTCCAAGAGAGGTGACAGGAACGAGCAGATGCAGCCACGCGGCCCTGGGCTGCGGGGCACGCCCTGGCATCCGATGAACAAAGTGGTAGAGAGGTGACGGTCTCTGGGGACGAGGTGACCCACACTGTGGGAGGCTCCCGACACCAAGAAGTCGTAGGGCAAAGCTCCTGAACATTAACCGGGCCACCCTGCTCGGGCAGAGAAGTGGGGGGTGGTGAGGACAGGCTGAGGGGACTGCTAATGGGTGCCTGCATGGCGGGGGGCTGGCCTTCAAAAGGGGTTCCTCCCCCAGGCTCCTTCCTGCTGAAGCCCCAGGCTGCCCAGGCCCCAGCCAATCTGCCACTGCAAATGTGCGCCCTGGGATTCTACCCTGGGCATAGGAATGTGGTCCCCAGGGCCTGATCACGGGGGTCTTGTTTGGGGATCTCTCAACCTCAGCACTATAGGAATTTGGGGCCTGTGGGGTACCATTTCCCCCATTGAGAGGCTCCGAGCAAGATACCCAGCCAGGCCCTTGATGCTCAGGCCTCTAAAAAGCACAAACACTCCAGGCGAGGCAGCCTGCTTACAAATGATGCTTAATTTACAGTAAATAACTAAGTTAATTAGAAGTAATGATCCCCTAGACGTCTCCACATCTAATGATTCTTTTTTAGAGATATGTGGTTGCTGGATGCACTGCAGAGAGATTAAAAATAAAGACACGACACAGAGAGAATTTTGCATCCCAATTTTCAATTTATCTCTCTGCATTATTAATTAATAATAATTAATATTCAGATGCTGGCATTTTTATTTACAATTCCAGGCATGAATTCTTTATGTGTGATCATATGAACTTTTAAAATAATTAAGTAATTTGGAGGTAATTAATGTATAAATTTGGAATCATGGCACAAGATAAACGTGGCGGATGTTTATCTTAAGAGCTCGGAGTTCGCTAAAGCACTGGAAAATCGCCAGCCGGCCCTGGGGCTGGCAGTTCTGGGGCAGCGTCATCTCCCAGATGCCCGCACCCTGGGTGATGTCAGATTGTGGCCACAGGGCACATGGCAAGCCCATGGTGGGAGATGGCATTGCAGGGGTCAGCGGGGAAGCGCACGGGGCTTCACACCACTGCCCCATGGAAATCAACTTTGCTTAAAGGGATCCAAGAGAACACAGAGAAAAGGGCTTTGCAAGCCTTTGGGCGTGGTGGGATCTCACTGGCCAGAGCAAACTAAATGCTTTGCCTACATGGTATGATGGGGGACATCGCTAGATTTTGTCCATAAGACTTAAAAACAGTGCTTCAGACTGCTTTGGGGCAGGCTTATTCTGAGCGCCCCTTGCTGAACACAGACAGGTCATTGAAGAATGATTACCCCCAAGCCTTCAGCACACCCACGGGGGCTCCCAGCAGGGACCTTTGCTCTAGAGACGCTTGTCGACCCCGCCTTGCAGCTGGGAGGAAGGCACAGGCTTTGTCCTGATTCCAGGGCTCCAAGGGGCTGAGGGAGGTGCCAAGTCCTGCCCAGCTCGTGAATAGAGGTGCCAAGACTCTGACAACTTCCACAGCCTCCGGGTGCAGCCTACCCCGCCCCCACCCCGGTGAGGTGTCCCACACACACACACAGGCCACACAGTCACATGGGTCATCACTGAGGCCCCGTGAGGTGCAGGGTGCAGGGCTGCTCATCCCTGCTCTGAGCAGATTCGCACCTCCTGAGCTGCATCTTGCTGGGTGTTGTCATTACTGCTGTGGTTTTATCTGGCGGTTGGGTAGTGGTGTTTCATTTTAAATCTTTGGTCTGTTCCATCTCCTTCAAGGTCAGGCCCAAACTTCGTGCTCCTGTGGCCTCACCACCCCTGCCCTGTCACTGTGAGGTCCTCTGGGATCCAGACCGTCAGTCAGCACAGTCTCCCAGGCCTCTGGGAAGGAAAACTATGCTTCGACCTCCCTCCCCCTTTGTGGCAGGCACATCCTGGCTACTGTCACCCTGGGTGGCCCTGGACAGGAGGGTGGGCGGGCACAGTGAACTTCGCCTTCAGACAGTGGCCAGGACGGGCTGCGTGTTTGTGTTTACCCTGGTAGAAGACATCCACGCAGGGCTGGTCAGCACTGATGGCTTTCAGGACTTTGGAGTAGGCGGGAAGGACGCGGATGATGCTCCTGTGATATTCCAGCAGTTTCTGAGCTGTCTCCATCTCTGAGATGCCCTCTGGCTGAACCAGCCGGTTCTGGACTTCGGACTCTTGTGGCCAGTCGAAGGTGGTATGGTAGATCTCTGCATGGAGAGGGAGACAGAGAGGGGCACAGCTCACCATCCACCCAGGGCTGCCACCCCCATTCCCAGGTGGAGCCAGGGAACCCCAGGCTTGGGCTCAGTTCTGTTGGAACATGGGGTACACAGTTTCCTGGGGAGAGACCTGGTATACAGCCCCGAGGCGGGGGTGAGCTCGGCTGAGTGGGCTCAGAGCTGGCTGCTCAGGTCTAGTTCCACAGAGAACGGCTGCCCCCTGCGCCTCCTGGGCCTGTTTCTCCCTGTATTTCCCAGCTCAGAGCCCAGCTCCGGGGTCTGGACCTGCACCTGCCCGTGCACCTCTCTGGATCCTCTGCAGTGCTTGGAGAACCAGAGGGGCCACTCCTGCAGGGTGTAGGGAGGCCCGTACCTCTGGTTACAGGGTCGATCCTCTTCCCCAGGTTTCTCTCAATCAGGACGGAGTCCGGCGCATTCAGGATGACTGGGCAGAGGAGAGAGGGGCTGCATCAGGTGTGCAGGGCAGGCCCCATGTTCCACACCTTTGAACCTCATGGACGTTTGCTGTATGCTGCCATGAAAACCACCACCTCTTCCAGCCCCGGAACCCCTAAAGGAAAGCTCCGAATACATGGCATGCTCTTGGGGGACAGCTCCCCGCTCAGCGTGCTCACATCCTGAGTAACACCATGGAGAACACCCTGTGGCCATGTTTCTGCCCCACTTCCCGTGGCTTCCTACAGACGGTGCCTCAGACATGGGACAGGAATCCCCAGGACGAAGACGGAATCCCGCTTTTCCTAAGAACAAGCCCCAAGTCAGGTAGCTCTGACTTGGCCGAGGCTAAATTTCATCAGTCACATCTGGGTCTTGCTGGGGGACAAGTGGCCAGGCTGGGGGTGGAGCATGGTGAACCAAACGATGCAGGGTGGGGGCTCCCGTGGCCGGGGTACTCACTGACGTGCTTGGGGGCGAGCCCCAGGGTCTGCATCATCAGCACCTGCTCCCGAGTCTCAGGAATGCCGTCCAGGATCCAGCCCTGGGCAGAGGATTGGCGAGAGTGGTTTCTCTGCCTGTGTTTCGATTTTCAAAACTTACAGGAATGTAACAGCTTCAGAGGAGGGCTGGACTCTTTCTTCTTCACATAGGATCTCACTACGGTGCCCAGCCCTGTCTGGAATCCTGGGCTCAATCAATCCTCCTGCCTCAGCCTACCAAGCGGCACCAAAATACTAGCTTGGATTTTTTTTGAGAGAAGAAAAGAAATGTTCCTGCTAACCACACGGTTCTTTCTTAACAGCCCCCCTCACTGTTAGTCTTTCCTACTCCGTGTTCACGACAATCATCATGACAAACCTGTCTTGTTTTTTCTTAGCCCGGGTTTGCAGTACCTGCTTACATCCCTTGTGGGGAGCTGGTAGGTGAGCTGACCCTCTTCCCAACCTCTCTCTCTCCATCTCTTGGTCCCTTCCCTTTGGCAAAAGACCCATCCTCCTGCTTCCCATTATCCACCTGTTAGTTTGCTCCTATTTATATTTTGGGTTCCTCATATAAGAGAAACTATGGGACACTTAGATGTGTGTGTCTGATTTTATTTCACTTAGCATTAATGCTGTTGAGGCACTTTGATTTTCCTGCTCAAGTTTATCCTTCTTTGTGGCAGGAGAGTATTCCATTGTGCATAAACACCACATCTTCTGTATACTTTTTGTAGTTGTTGTTGAGGGTCTCACTGTGTGGCCCAGGCTGGCCTTGAACTCGTGGAGACCCTCCTGCCTCAGCCTTCTGACCGCTGGAGTTATAAGCATGTGTCACCATGCCTGGTCTCCATATACTTTACATCCTGATTTTCTCCACAACATATCTGGCTGCTGCAAGCACTTTTTTCATATCAGCCTGCCTCTCAGCTGTCTCCATTTTCAGGGGCTCACATCCCACCAAGGGAGCACACACGTTCAAGCTCCTGATTGCATTTTCCAGGATTATAAATAATGCTGTAATGAACATCTTTGTGCATATAGCTCTTTCCACATTTTAAATTCTTCCCCAGAGTTTCTGAGATATGGGATTTCTAAGGCATGAAATCAATAGAATCAAAACAAAACTACATTTTTTTTTGAGTCAGGGTGTCTCTATGTAGTTCAGGCTGGCCTTGAGCTCACTTTGTAGCCAGGCTAGTGTCAAACTTGCAAGGATCTTCCTGCCTCAGCCTCCCAAGTGCTGGGATTACAGGCGTGAACCACGACGCCTGGCAAAACTACATTTTTTAAAAAAGAATACCCCCCCCCCAAAAAAAAGAGAAAACCCATAGTGACGTCTGAGTTCAGAGATTAGTTCTGTCTTGGTACAGCTGAGGCTTTGGTGCAGAAGGTTCATTTCTATTAACTCTTTAAATCCAACTGGGAAAGGAAAACACCATCACTGTACACTACATGGAAAATGCAGACATTCTGTGCAAGGCAGCTGGGAAACATGGAGACCCTACCGAGCCATTGGGACCACCTCCTTCCCGGTACCGCACAACGGTGAGCTTTCTTCTCAGGGATGGGAAAGTAAAGAACCACACACCTGTGCGTGTCCTTTGCAATCCATCTTTTTTACAGAGTGAAAAACACTTTGCAAATACTTCCCAGATCACAAATGCTCACCCTTGGAAGTCTCCACAGCCGCCTGGGGAAGCACAGACTGATCTACCAGACTTTACCTGAGCCAGTGCTGCGGCCCTTTGGTTGGATTCTGGTTTTTCATCATTATTTAAAAACGCCATACACAGATCTATTTTTTCTATTCATAGATCTTGATGCACATCAAATATCCTCAAGGTAAATTTCTGAAAGCTGATGCTTTTATACATCTGCCCAAACTGCCCTACAAGATCTCCTGGCTGCTTTGTAAGTCCAGGGGCGCAGGCTCTATTTCCCCGTGTCTTCACCGATGCTGGCCATGATCTTGGGGAACACCTTCCCAGCAAAACGTAATGCACCCTTGCTTCTTGCATTTGCATTTCTCTGATTGTTAGAAGATTCGGTCTTTCCCGTATGTTTACTATCTGAATGTTGTGCCTTTTCCCAAATGTCTGTCCACTCACCCCGTCTGTCTGGGATGTCATGTTGTTAGCGCTCTTTCCTTATTGAGAATATTAAGTCATCTTGGCAAACATCGCCAGGTCATCTGAAGCAAAACAACTGCCAACGTTTTCTTCTGTCTGTCTGTCCGTCCGTCTGTGGTCTTTGAATCTTGTGCCCAGCGTTGTCTCTCACACCCAGGCCTTCAGCCAACCTAATCCCTGCTGTTTTCTGTGGCTTCTGTCGCTGAGTGGATGAATGAGAAGGCCTTGTCCACTCTCAAAGCAGATAGACAGTCCCTTGCACTTGTACTGTGTTCTCTTATGATTTTACTCTTTACACCGGAATACTGAATGCAGCCACGTTTTCTTCCGTAAATGAGATGAAGCTGCAACCCGACTTGTTTGCTGAGGTTCAAGGTGGCTGCCTCCGCCTGCTCTGTGACACTGCCTCTCCTCTCGTCTCCTGTCCTCTGCCACGATGTCCCTTGTGTTGCAACTAATGCTCTGTCTGCCTACTGATCACTAAACTACTCTAACCTTTTACATTACTGTTGCTTTATAAATGACCGTTACACCTAATAGAATATGCTCTCCCTTCTGGGTTTTTTATTTGTTGGTCTGTTTGGTTTCGGTACCAGGAATAGAACTCAGGACTTTGTGCCTACCAGGCAGGCGCTGTGCTGCTGAGCTATACCCTTGGCCCTCCCTTCTGTTTTTCAAATTATTCTTCCAGGTAAGCATCAAAAAACATTTTGTCAAGCTATCAGACAGAAACTCGAGGAGGTTTTCAGAGTAATATTAGATGCGTAGATTAATTCATGAAGGGCCTCACACTTTAACTCCCATCGAGTGGACGCATTATCTCCTGTTTTCTTCTGTCCCTCAGCCATGTTCGCATTAAACAATTTCTAAAGCCCTTTCAAGTCCCCTGAATCTCGAGTGAAAGCCACATGTGCGTGCGCACGTACACTGTTCGGTGCGGTAGACCTGGTATCCGGGTAGAGCTGCAAGGGGAGCCATGCAGGAGTGAAACAAAGCAGCCATCGCTTCCGTCTCCCTTCTGCAGCAGCCAGAGGTGGATCCGAGGCTGCTGATGCTGGCTCCCCAAAAGGACCCCCCACCCCCCGTCAGAGGCCTGTTGATCACTGGGAGAACAGGGTGCTCTGAGGTCAGAGGATGAACTCTCATGGGTGATCTCAGACCCCTGGTCACCCTCAACCCATGCCCCTGATTTGCGGGGCACCCTTGGGTGCTGACCTTCAGAAACAGCGTTCACAACAAACAAAAATGTGTCGCATTTCTTCAATATTAAAATATTTGCCTTCCAACAGCCTCCATGGATGGTTTAAAAAAGGAAACACTAAACAAGTTTACATCCTAAAGAACTGAAACATCCGGCAAGCTTTTACTAATTTCTTAAATTATACAGGAAAACAGCCATGGAACCTCTGGTTTCTGGAACTAATGAAGCAAAAAAAAGCAAAAGAAAAAAATGTTTAAAGAGTCTTTTGCTCCCTCAAGTCCTTGTTATAGCTGGGCAAGCACGGGGCTGCAGCTCTTAGAAAGAGCAAAACCGACAGATGTGAGCAGCTCCCCAGGAACCGGAGACACCCCGATGGGAGCTCCCCGCTTACAGCGGTGGAAGCCAAACGAGCGTTTTCTGAACTTCACTAAATCCGCGCACCCTGCCCATTTCCTCCCCACTAGGAGGGGAGAGAGTCAGGAGCCCCCTTCACTGCTGCCTCCAGCACTACTTTCTGAGGCTGGAAGGAGACTGAAGCTCTGCCTTCACCCCCACCCAGAAAGGCTTCTGGTTTTAATGTTGCATTGCTGAGCAATCATGATCATCTTGCTCGTAAATTTGCAGTGGATGATCAGTATGTGGTCCAAAGGTGTTAGAACTATTCAGGGGAACAGTTCTCCCTGACTCCCTGCGGGAGCAAGCGGGACTTCCAATTACCCGGAAAAACACAGCAAATGAGGGCCGTCTCCCGCTAGCCTGGCCTCGCCATGCTGATCGGAGCAAAGCAGGGGTTTAAAGCAGGGGTTTTGGGGAAGCAGGAGGGGGACCCTGCGGTGAACCACAGGCCACCCTGAACCACAGCTCCCCAGGTCTGCCTTGAAGATCAAGGGGAAGGCACAGCTGCCAAGCGCTGAGGAATGAGGTCCTGAGGGCCCTCTGCAGTGGCCCTGGTCCCTGGGGAAGGAGCCAAGGACTCTTCATCCTTGTGCCTGCCCACATGGGTCACACGGGCCTGGGGACAGACACAGCCTTCGTGGGGACACTGTACAAGAACATGTCGGTCCTGGGGCACCCTCAGGCTGGAAGCCCCAGGCCTGGCAGCTCAGAAAGGATCGTTTTCCTCCAGATTGCTGCGTTTACACCAGTTACCGGCAAAGTTGCCAAACTGACTGCATTTCTAAGGGGAAGCAGCAATGTTGGCAGAGAACACTTGACCAGCCCCACATTCTGCCCAAGCCGAGCATCAGTTGGTGAACTCGAGGATCCCAGGACCGCCAGGCAGGGGCACTGAGCCATGTGTGACAGCACCACATTGCTAGGTCCCGGGTCCGACGCCCAGGAGTGGCTGGCCGGAGGTATCAGTCAGTGCCTAATTAGAATCCATTATCCATCTTCCTGACACTTCAGTGAGATGTCTATTCCACTCCAGAGCCGCAGCTTTGTTCCAAGCAGGTTAATTGATATTCTGATGCCTTCACTCGCCGTACCCCAGTGGCTTGGTTCTGTCTTATCACACATCAAAAAGGCCGTATGCTCAGGGCACTCCGTGCACGGGCCCGGAGCTGAGGTCTGCACAGCTGCACGGGGTATGGTATCACAGGAGGGACAAGCATCGAGCAGATGTCATGGATGAAAAAAAGAGGAAAGCAAAGAAGCCAGCCAGCCTGGGGAGCCCACGCGGCCCAGCGGAGCACGGCCTGAAGTGGCATAGGCCGTCCGGCTCTGTGCG